CAAACACCTCTGCACTATAAATCACAGGGTTAGTGAGGCAGAGAGGACGGGAACTTGTGTCAACCCAGCAGTATCAGTACCCACGGGTTCAGGGCAGCTTCCACCACAGAGTCCTGGAGTCACCATGAGCCAGAAAAGTTATTACCAAGCAGCATTCAAAAAGTCAAGAGCAGCGTGCTCGATACTGTACAGTAATTAAGCTAAGTGTAAATCAGGCTGAGTAGCACAAATAGGCTTAGGTTTGTTTTTTTTTGTTGTTTTTTTGTTTGTTTTTTTTTGTTTTGTTTTGTTTTTTTTGGTTTTTTTTTTGTTTTTTGTTTTTTACAGCAAATCCATGACAGCACCTCCATAAGGGTGAGGACAAACATTGAGTAGAGAACTGCCAACCTGCCTGAAGTCCTTTCTGCACTCATCTACTGGCACAAAGTATAAAATACTCCCTTCGTTGTCAATCAGGTCCTGAAGAGTTCATCATTACCTCCCGAATCAAGTACCACAGTGGCTCACACGCACTATTTCCATGGCAGTGCACCCAGATGAGGCAGAAAGTGGAGCAGACATCCTTCCTGGGGACTGGGATACTGACCACCTGCAAGGGTTTTTTTTTTTTTTTTTCTGATGGCATTCTTGCTTCATTAACAAAAAACGATGATCCCATTTTATATTGAGAGAGATAATTCTGGCACTATCTCTGAAGTATAAAATGAAGGTATGAAAATGTCAACTCATAGTAACACTGTTGCTATCACCCAGGAGTGTCTGCTGTTAATATAAAGGAGAGTGCAATAAATGGTTCCCTTCTCATCCATTTACTTTTAGTCCAGTTTGCAAAAGAAACAGAAAAATTGACCTGTGAGGTACACTTGAATTTCTTCTAAAATTTTACATCCTGAAATTTTACATTGGTCTTTTTGAATATCAAGATCACCTCAACTTCAAGAAAGACACTTTACTGAACAACTCAGCACTGAAAGGCCTGTTCAGTCAGTACACAGCTAAGACCACCCTCCTGGTCTATTGATGGTTGCATCCAAGAGTTTCCAAGAGAAACAAAGTGAACCAAAACAGCAATGCAGAAAGCAACTGCAGGCTCATGTAGTAAAGCAAAAATAAAATAACCTGACATCAGGAAACAGAAACTATCATTCACATGCGTTCATTAATGAGGCTTTTCTCAACAATCGAACAGGAAAAATCATGACAAAAATCAATGAAGAACAAATGACTGAAGAGCTCCAACTATGGAGTACAAAGGAAAGCATTTCTCAGTAACTTTTTAAGTCTCTGCTTATGCAGGTAAACATTAACATACAGCATACAAAACCATCCCTATTCAGCTGTATTATTTAATCAGTAATGTTAAGGTCTAGTACAGAGCATGCAAATTAGAGCCAACTCCTGATATTTAGCTACTAAAGAGCGTTTCCTGCCAGAGTTTGATCTTCCCATTTAACATAGCAAAGAATTCTGAAATGAATTACCATTAAATACTTGCAAAGATCCAGTGACTACACTCCAGAATGACCTACGGGAACCACAAGATTAATTGAAGATCTCTCTCCCACCCATAGACAAGCAGCTGACAGATGTGCTATTCAGCCACAGATTAAATAAAATAGGTAAACTGGCTGGTCTTAAGGTCACCTCAACTGGAAAGCTGCAACACACGGCTCCTTAAGGACTAATGGGAGACATTTACATTAGCAATAAATGGGATATGATCTTTAAACTTCACTAATTGTCATATATTTTTTACAGCCAAGCCAGGTTCCACTATAGTTAGCAGAACATTTCAACAATCTGGCAGGCAATTAGCATGGTTCTACCTATGTTTCTCAAAGGTAAGCCATTACTTTCCTACATGAGTTTTCTCTTGCTCTATGCCACTGACATATATCATTCTACTCATAACTCTGAGAACAACAATTCAAATTTAATACCAAGGATAAAGTCCAGGAGAACATTACAATTGGCTAATTTTGAACCTTACCTTGTCACCAATCTCACGAGCTCTGGCAGGACAAGGGAAAAAGAAGAATCATTTTACACCCAACTGGTTTCAGTGCAGTAACACTACAGATAGAGTACTGCCCAGTCAAGAGTTTCCAAGAACTTTAAAAATAAGCAGATGAGAAACATCTGTTTGGATGTAGGCAAACGTAATCTAATTGAGCCTGACAACACAGACATCAATACAGTCATTTTCAAGATTTAGGAAACCTGCACTAGTTAAACAAACATCTCACACTCCAGGATGTCTCTCTTCACAATTTTTTTTCCTTAAATGTGCAGGCAGATCAGGTGTACAGAATTAGTTGATGTTTCATTAAAGTCTCTGTTTAACTTAAAATGGGATTTAAATAAACCTTTAGCCCTTTCAGTGCAAAAGCATTCATACCTCATCTGCAGCCCGACAGTAAAGTATCAAAGGGTTAATTAACACATATGCAGTGTGTGGTTTAGGTAATATGAAATGGAAATGTATGAATAGACAAGTGTCAGCAAGTGCAATGGAAATAAATTGGGCATCTCCTTCCACACTTCAACTTTCTCTCTCTAGATTTGCTCAGAGCTCTCTATGCTGCTTGTTCAGTAATTTCACGCTACGCTGCTTAACAATGTAAGCATGGAGGCTCAATCTAAAACTGCACTTCCCAAATGTCACTTGTTTGCAAACACATGGCTGAACCCAAAATTGCTTTCGATATTAAGAGTGGTGCCTCCTGGCACTATTGTAGTTAAAGGTCTGTCGAATTTCCATGATAAACCCCATTTTCAGGGGTGTATAACCATGACCATTTGCTACAGACAAACCTGGGATTCAAGGCCACAGCAAAATTATTTCTTTTTTTTTCTTCCCAAACCAGATTTGAGGCCTCTTACAGGTCTAGTTTTTTCTTACCAACACTGTAGCTCCATAACAAATTCAAATGTATGATTCCCTCTTCACGCTCTACATGGCCTTAGAGTCTACAGCTACTCCACATGGCCCAGTCTAACACCTTGATGGAAAGATTACAAACACCAACTATGGATTCAGATACCTGAACACATGTAAAGGACAGAGAAGATAAATGCATGACTTTTCAGAATGAGGATTTTTCTGTTATGAGAATCGTTTTGGCTGCCATTGCTAGCAATTCAGAGGTTTTACCTGCCTGGCACAGTGATTATGCGTATTTTATACTTCACAGCACTAACAATAGCATGCATAACAGAAAACACTTTTAAACTACCGTAGTTTCAGAAATGAAATAAAATCTACGTGTTTATTTTAGAAAAGGAGGGAGTTCAGATGCCGCATTTCTTTGTTAACAGTGGACTCCATGAAACTATGGGCTGAATATTACTAAAAAGAACAAAGACAGACACTTCACCTTTCAGTCACCAAAAGGGCTGAAGTTACTTTCTGTATGATGAGCTTCTCAGACACTAAGTGCTGTGACATTTTATAGTCAAGGACTGCCTGTCGGCAGTTGCTGAGGCAGGACATAAATATAAAAAGGGGAAAGCTTAAAAAAAAAAAAAAAAAAAAAAGGCTCCTATGGGCATAACAACCATCTTCCTTTCCTAGCTGGGTTAATTATGCTTACTTACAAAAAAGGAAAACTAGGGAAACAGCACTGGTTTTTTTCCTCCCACAATTCTAGCAGATTCCTTACTGTCTGCAGTGCCAGAAACAGCACTAGCATCTAGAAGCAAAAAGCAGTGCATGGCATTAGTCACAAAGCAACCACTCACAGTGATTAACACGCAGCATTCTAAATATAATTCTGCACAGATAGCTTCAGCTTAGGTCAATTGTGGCTGAAGACATTACAGCAAGAAGATGGAGGTATCAAGAAAGCACAGTCAACAACCGTAGGATCCCAAAGCAAAGACTACATTCAGTAATCATCTACTGTTTCTAGAATATAAACCCTAGTAAAGGAAAACAGGGCAGCATTACATTGTTTCACAGGATGAGGCACCGAGGTACTTGCAGTGCATCTTCAGCAAAGTTGTATTTGCCCAGAACAAAAGATGTATTATAAAAGTTGTGGAGTCAAGCTGAGTTGATGGAAGAAAAATAAGTGCAGAAGATGATATAAATGTTATTGTAGAATGAAAACTAAGACTGCCTTTCTGGAAAGGAGCGTCTGTGGTGATTTTAAGTTCCTACCCAAGGTTATAATTTCCTGAAGATTCTCAAAACTGATCCCCAATTTAAAAACTCATGAAGCAGTCATACCTCACTGCACCACATCTAATGTACCAAAAACATCAATACAGCAAAACAAACCCCTTTAAAGCAGACTTAAAAATAAATAAATGAATAAAAATAAAAAGCCAACCACATTAATCTGTTTGAAATATAGGCCCATCACTACTAGTAAAAAAAAATAGAGAACATCGTAGGCATGCTGTCATGGAAAACTGTCACTGCCTTCAGAACTGTCAAAAGTAATTCAAACAAGAAATTTGCCCTGATGAAATAGCCACATGGAGTCATTCCACCATGATTCTCCTCTTCAGACATCATTGAGACCTTTTGTACTGTGCATTTTTTTAGGGAAATTTAAAAATGTTAAATGGTTTTTAAATAACCATTTAAAAATGGTTATTAGTATACTCCTATGAAAGTTTAAGATGCCTCTAATTTATCCTTTCTCCTGCAAGGTGTATACCCTAGGAACGGTATTCAGTTACATCAGTTACCTTATCCACCCTGAAATGCAGTTTTAATGCTTCAGAAAACCAATCCAAACCTTCTAGCTTCAAAACCACCTCTACACAAGGCCTATGTACATTGAGCATTCAAGAAAGGCATTCAAGAAAGACATGTTTGCCCTCAAAATGACATGAATTATCAACAGGAATAAAACAATAACATGGATCAATGAAAGTACATTTTCAAAACAAGGACATTTTCAGTTTGTTCAAAGGGAGAAGTTCCCCACCCAATCATTAGTTTATGAGCTCGTGGTTTTAAGTAACCCCCCAACCAAACAGATACCTACTTGGGTTGCCATTTTTCCGTAGTCAATCCAACGCAATGTGGCAAAGTTGGTTGACTCAGCACAGTTGAAGCCATGATTGAAGCCAGCATGGTAACCATAAGGAAATGTAATCATAAACTCTCCAGCTTCCTGGGTGATCTGAAAAACAGAAATAAAAGGACAGCCTACATCAGATGAGCAGAAAAAGCACTTTCAAGACACCTATATCCTCCTTGTTAAATCTCTCTTAGCAAGAAGGCAGAACAGTCACGGCCAGTTCTCGGCTATACCTATAGCGATTTCTTCTTAACTGTACAAATACTGAAGTAGTTCTACTAGTGAAAACAGACAAAGGACAAAAGAAAACAGTACAAAGGACAGAAGCTGCTATAAGATCTTAACTCTTGAGATAAAGGCCCCAGTTATGAAAAGGGTCCCAAGCTGCAGCATTCCAAAAATGCACAAATCTTTTGCTTGCTGCCACTTCATCCCTTGTTCATACCTACTCTCCCACACCATGCTAGTGGGGCCAAACAGACTGCATTTCCCACCTACACATGTGCTCTGTGCTGCAGTGTCCTACTGAAATACATGATTACTTTTCCTGTATTTATTTCCTCACTTATATGGTTATCATTCTCATTTGTTCACTTGTAAGTCAAACAACCTAAAAAATCTTAGCCTGCTATTTGTCCTCCTGAGTAAAATTAAGATGAAAGTAAGTAAAAAGGATTGAAAACTGCAGATTACAGCTGTAATCAGAGGCTGAACAATTCCCCGTACTTCTAGAAAATCACCTTTTAAAAACCTACAAAGAGAAAACGTGAAAAGAATGTCCCTGTTAAGCAACACAAGAACAACTGGTAACAGCGTAACCAGCTTAACCTGCTAGCTTCCCGAAGCATAGGGTACCATCTCCTCCCTTTAACAGATCAGAAATATGGCAAAATTTGACCTTTGCCTGTCTTTCTAAACCGGAAGTGCTGACAAAGCTTTTGTAACACATCTGGGTTATTTCCCACTGACACTAACCACAACTCACCAGTCTGGAGCCTACTGAGCCTTCAAAGAACTTTCACATATAAACACAGGAATAGAACCAAGCAGAAAATGTTATCAGGAATTAAACCACTGGCCCACTAGACTGAGCCCAACCTTGTTCATACTACGAACATCAGCAGAGAACAAAATGAGAAAACAAATGCAAGATTTGATAGCACAAAAGCTTCCAGATGAGGGGTGCTGAAGCACTGCCTGCAGCGCATCCCCTCCCATCCCTCCATACATCACTGCACAGCAGTAGATTGCTAACTTCAGAAAACGGAAAGATTATGTTTCTGTCACAACATCTACATCCTGGTGTCTTCATTTCAAGCCCACAGCATATGTCCTCCATGTCACTGCTGTCAACATTATCCCTACAATAAATTAGAAAGCACTCGAGATGATGGATAGGCCATGCAGAAAAGTAATAACTATTGAAGAAAAGCCAGCACAAACTGCCACTCATGGAGAAAGGCCTAAATTTACTGACTTATGCAAGCTCTTGCAGAATAAGTGGAGAAATCAATAGGAGATTATAGAAATACACATTTTTAATTATTAAAAAGCCCCAGTATTGATCTGCTTTTTTATTTCGAGAAGTAAATACCATTATAGAGATTATAAATGCGCACTTATTCACTTCATTGAAACCTGCCAGAAATGTAGATGAAGGGATCCTATCTCTATTTCTACAGAAAAGTGGCACACATTCCCTGTTCCTGAACAATGGCAATCCTCCTTCAAAACCTACTTTTCAGGATAGGAGTTATTCAGACATGGATTGCTCTGACTAAAGAGATCTCCTCCTCCTCTTCACATTTAAAAACGTCCTTCCAGTGAGTGCCATAGAAAATAGAGAATATGTAAACACATATACAAAAAAAAACACATTTGTGCCCCACATTCTGTAAAACAGGATTAGGAATTATATTTCTTTACGTGAGATGTTAACAATACCCCTTGTTTAAAAAAGTTCGGTTTTGACAGCAATATTGTTTTTCTTCGCATGCACTGGCCTCCATTTTTTTGGGTGAAAAAAAAAAAATCATCCCAACAAAAATCACAGAAGCCAAACACATACAAAGGAAACAAACAAAAACTGTATACACAAAGTAAGTTCCTTATCATTAAGGTAGCACACATTTTAATACTCAGTATGAAGGAGGCACCAGAGATGAACCTACACACCTTCCCTCCCCAAATCACAAGATTCACAGTGGGAAGCCTACCTAACTGGGAAAAGACTTTTTACCAGGCAACAAATTAGAAAGTCCTTCCATATCAAAGTACTTCATATCCCATGCCCATCACCAAACAGCTCAGTAAAGCTGACTTGGGATAAGCTCGATAGAAAAGCTTTCCTCTATTACAACCTCTTTTGCTCCTCTTGCTTGGTTTTGATCAGAAATTACTCAGTATATGTAATTACTAATCAGTGCCACTTTCCAGGTACATGGAAAAGCAAACATAAGTCTTCTCATCAGAGAAAAATATGCCCACCTACAGCATTCAAACACTCACAAGAATTTCCTTCACATTCTGACTTCCCACAACCATTCAAGCAGCATGTTTGGGCACTGAAGAGGCAGAAATTAATTTCCATTTCCTATACTTTTCCATTTCATAGAAGGATGGGATACCAATAAGGGGCTGCACAACAAACTTCACTTACAATATCTAGTGAGCTAGATTGGGATTTTTTATTATTATTTTCAGCATCTTTAAATAAGCAGTGATCTATATGTAAGCAAGCAGCGATCCCTTTGTAGGTTATGCCCAGCCTCCTCTATCAAGTCCTTTCCACAGGAGCACCCATGTATGCTACCCATATTCCAATCTACTCATCTACTTTCCTCAAATTTGTAAAGTTAAAATTCCTACCAAAAAAAAAAAAAATCAGTTCCCAAAGTCAGATTATTTTCAACCACGTGTAGCAGATAACCATGTTTTCACATTTGGACTTCAGGTTTAACAGATAGAATTACAAGAAAAAATGGTTTGTTGATCCCTAAGAACAAGTTGATATCAACTATCATGTGCAAACCAGGCAAAATGTGGCCACTAATATTGAACTACAAAGCACCACACATGGCTTTTTGCAAGTCTCTGCTGCACAGTGAGCTCATCCAACAAACCAGACAGTCACACTTCAAATTTCATTCATCACAACCTTCCACTAGGAAAAATGAAACAATCTCTGGAGCAGTAAATAGAATGAATTCATAGTTTTTATGCTATAAAAGAATGCAGAACTTGTACTTCTCAAAGAATCACTAGGACCATCAAATAGGCAGTATACTTTGTCACCGGTGGACTAACTCTAGCAAAACCTTGCTTAAGAGTTCTTACTTAGGGGAAAAAAAAAAAAAAGGCCACAATCTTGAGCTGATGATGCCAGAGAAATGAGGAAGGATGAAATCAGTTTAAATCAAGTACTCTTTGACACTTCCACTGGAGTTAGAGCTGCAGTGCCCCCAACTCAATTCCTTTTTCTGCACCCTGACAGTATCATGCCCACAAACAGTGTCCTTAACCATTCTGGCAGGACAATGGGCTTTGTATGCTGGCAACATACAGAAGCAGTAACCGCTTGATTGAATCTGCATAAAATCCATGCTTGACTGAGGAGATTTACTTCTTGCCCAAAGCCTTTGAGGATAAGCACATTAAAATGATCATACCAAATAAACATGGCCCCTCATTTCAAATAAGAGGACTTAAGAGACGGACAGATCCTTACTGGCTCTGTGTAGATAGAATGCTTTCACAACAGAGAACCTGCATGTGTAACTCCAGTTTTTGGTTCACAAGAGATCCAGAAAAAAAAAAACTTAAGACTGTGTTGAACAACTACCTGAGAGTTATGCTGCCTATTGACAAGCCATAGGACATGCATCAAACAGCTCCTGACCAGCTGCAGAGAACTGCTGCCTTAGAAGAGGGGTGTCATAGTTTGTGCATCACAGCAACTTGCCAGCTTTACTTCACAACTTTACTTTCCTCAAAGCCTCTTTTGTACATACCCGGTCAAAAGGAATGCCGTACTTCTTCAAGATTGAGGGTGAAATGAGGGTCATCTTGTGACGGAGGAAAGCATCACATCCCTGAGAGCTTCCAGGAAAAAATCCTGTAGAGACATTACAAAGAGGACTATCACTTCAGGAATATTATATCAAGTCATTATTTAATCAGTGACAAGGTGACAAAATGAAAACCTGCCTAAATATTTTACGTAGATCATAGCAAAAGGCATACTGCTAAAGATGTCAGTAATTCGCACATGCCTCCTTGTTTCAAACGCCACACAAATTTTGTGAAAAAGACTTGAATGTTGAGGCACATAAGTGTTAATTCCATTCACAATGAGAGTCAGCATCTAATCTGTTGTATCTGAGAATACGCAACTCGGCCAAAATCTCAGTAAATCCCTAGCAAATTAAGAAACTGAACCTAGCTGTCTCCAGTTTTGGCTAGAGTCTGAACAAACCTTTTTCTTAATATAGACAAGGAAAAATTGACAAGCATGCACCATCTACTCCATAGTCCTTTTTATACCTTCTCTGAAGGGCAGCTATATTATTCCTGGGAAAGTAACACAACTGTTATCATACGATTCCAGAACGATCTGCCCTACATACCAGCCTAAAGAAAAGAAAGAAATAAGCATGCAGATGTTAATATTGAGTCAAAAAGAAAGAAACAAAACAAAACATAACCACTACAGTGAAGTAGAAGGGATGCTCATTCATTGGCCACAGAGGTCAGATATAGAGACACTGTGATTTAATTCAGCATCTCAGCAGTACAAAGTGCAAGTTTGACTATAGCTACAAGATTCGCACCGAGTCAAAACAAACCACAAATAATTAAAAACATTAACATTGGGGTAAAAACCAAACCTCCTGATGTCAACACTTCCTTCCCAAAAGCATCAGCTAGACTGTAAGAACACAGTGTTTGCTACCATGTGTTACACTCCAAGCAGGTGATTCAATTAACAAATGGTGTTTATGGGATTAAGAACCAATGTCATTTTGAGAAAGAAAGAATTTAAAAAGCAAGCAAGCTCAGGATACAAAACTAATCGATGGGACATAATGGAAGGGGTTTCAGAAAGTGAAAAGAATTGCCAGATTCCAGGTTTTCCTATATTTTTGCACTAAAAGCATTTACATTAAAGTGATGACTGTCTGCTGCCTGGTTTGTTGTCCTTCTCTGCAGTTCCTTTTTTTAATGCACAGTTTATGTGGCTCTCATTAAAGCTACTAATAAATAAGCACATTTTAAGTGATTAGCACCAATAACACGGCAACACATTAACATTCTCTCCGTGGACTCCACAACTCTCTCAGCGAGCCCATTTACAGCTCAGCTATTCATTTTCTATATTAATTGCATGCTCATCTTTCCAGAGAGAACATCTTCATAGTACAGTCTGCTGATGCATAGGACGAGGAGGATGCCCAAGCAGTAACGCTGCTTCATCATAGTTTTTAGACATTATTCATCCGAACTTCCAAAAGGTACTAAGCAAAATAAAACAAGCAGCTCAAAATAAAGATGAGATCATGAATAACATGTCTGGTTTACACACTGCCAACTACTGCTGTGCTTCAAAATTTTATTCTTTTTTCCACAAGTATAAAACAATCACCAGAACGTCAGGCTGTTAGCAAGAAATGCCAACACTAAGAAAACCTACTTTTTATTATTACTCCTTTGCATCAGAATACAGCCTTCCAGATCTCCCTGCCTCTCATACCACAGCACTGCTTTTGTCGCATTAACTTCAACAACAGATTTAAATCATTCAGAATACACCTCACTGAGGATGGAATACGTAGATTTTGACTTAATTATCCCAAAACACTGACTTTTTTTTGTTTGGCTGGGCAGCGCTTAGAACATTTGCAAATATACAAAAACAACAACAAAGCACAAATAAAACATCAACAAATAAATACATATATATTTCTACAGTCAGTCATCTTTCCTGAAGTTGCCACCATGCCATCATTACCAATTGGAAACCAGAAGCGACAAAGACAGAATGCTGATGTCCATGCTTGCTGCTTGCAGAATGTCCTTGGCAGGTACTTAGGCAAGAAGTGCACATATGGCTTTGGGCAGCTGAGGCTGGCACTTGCAAGGTCAAAAATTACAACAGCCCAAGCTAGCCCTGCTGTTTGAGTTGGACTTTATTGTGTTGAAATGATGATGGAGGATGGCACTGGAAAGGAATGCCACCAACAACACTGTATGTCGTCATAGAGGGAGGCAAGAACTCCACTAGCTGTTCTCCATTAGTGCTGTTGAATTTGCTTGAATAAGATTTGAAGTAATCTACCAGTACTACATAAATAACATTTATAACACAGGAAGACATAATGGTTTTTAGCACACCTTTTCCCAGCAGTGGGGGTGTGGGATGGAATCATCACCAATACTTCACAGACTGCACACCACAAAACTGGAGCAACAGAGCTCTCACCACACTGCCACAAACCTCCTGCAGAGATGCATGATGAACTCTATTTCCCATGCATGGTCTCAATGCTTTGAAAAATCAAGCTTTTGCCACCAGTTTTGGTTAGGGCCATGGTGTGTCAGAAGACAGATTTTGAGAAAACAGTTGCACTATGAAGAATTGGGCACAGCACTTCTGACGTGACAAGGTTTCTGACTCAAGAGTTTATTATACCAACGTAGGTTCATCAAACAGCTCTTTCAAGAGTAAGTTACAGCAGTCAGTTCAAAATAAATTCTTTATAAATCTTAAAATTCTTTACAAATCCATTTTAAAATTAAGAGTTGGACTCTCTTCTGGAATGTTTGGTTTTCACTAAGCACATACCTATGTATTTATCCAAACAGCATTAACACAGGAAGAAGCCAAGCTTACCTTTCGCCAAGCGTTCCAATCTCTTGCCATGTTCTGGAGGTATGGCATACCTAGGACAAAGTTAACAGAGAAGAAAAAAAAAAATAATCACACCACAATGTAAAAGCAGTGAAAAAAAACTAAAAACAAAGGTAGTAATAACTTTTAGCACAACACTCTTACAATAATGTCTCCAAACATAAGCAAAAATTTAGAAGTCTGGAAGGCATCGGTCAGTACAAAAGGAGGCTGAAAGTCAGTATCTCAGAAAAGCCCTTAAATGTGTTACACAACGCGTGAGGCTTTCCTGCTACTTTTTAAAAAGCACCATCTCAAGCTTCATAAGGTGTAAGCAGAGCAGAGGTGACAAACTGACAGCGCAACAGGAATCAGTCAGCATAGGGAACAGCAGTCTTGTTTTCTGCAGGAAGGACGCGTGCAAAAGAAATTCACAAGGCTGTGCTAAAGACAAAGACAAGAATTTCAGATGGACTGAAAAAGTGTGAGGGAGGATCTGTGTGCACTGACATTTACAGGGAGTGAGGATAAATATTTTTTCAAAGACAAGTGTGCAAATCTTTTTTGGCTTTCTTCAAAAAGTAAATACTTTCCATAACAGTCAAAGCAGCTGATCTTTGCATTGGCAGGATTGTGTTGACTGATTTGAAACAAACAGAATTAAACTGTTAGGTAATTTTCTAGAAGAGGTGAATGGAAGAAGTGGGGTCTTCAAAGGAACAATACATGAAAGAATGCAGGGAACCGTTTCTACATTTTTAAAAGACAGTTTTCTGTGTTCAGGAGTAAAAAGTGCACAAAAGAATGTCACTGAGACGAGGTTCCTCTGTTTGTTTTGTGCTGGTGCAAAGTACTGAATACAATCCAGGAAAAACAATCAACTGCCTAAAGTCACACATTACTAATTGAGATATTCTCCTGAGATCTCCCCCCAGAAGATCTTAGTTACTTTACTCTTTGAAGTTACGTTGCCTAGGTATTCACAGAAGGAAAAATCAACTGCTTAAGATTTTACGCTTCACTCAGGTCACGACGTGACTGAACACCATATACACCCAAACATCTTTAAACAGACTGCACAAATAATAATGCCAATAGAATTTTTAAAATTGTTGTTTACATACATACATTACACATAATTAAATGTGGCTGTCATACCTTTTTTCATAACAAGAGTTTTGAAAAAGATGTATTTATTACCAACTATAACTTTTGTACAATGTGAATAATAAAAAAATGAATTATTTTTGTTATCTTCAATAAAATTGTCAAAATTGTCACAAAATGGGCCAGCGTAAGCAGGTAACTGCCTGATCTCAACAACACATAAAGAGTATTGTTGTTCTTCCAATAGGATCTCTGAAAAAACAATGGGTTTAGAGGACTTGCTGCCAGTCTTCTCATTCAGCTTCTCAATTTTTTAGTCAAAAGTTTATCTACAACATAACGAAAAACAGATAGAAGTCATATCCCAAATTGCTTTTTCACATTAACAAAATTTACCTTATCTGATCCTTGCAGGTTAGAAAGGATAACAATGGAAAGAAATTCTACATAGGATGCCCTAAGATTTAGACATTAAGCCGATTTAAACTGATGGCTTAAAAAAAATCTAAGGGAAAATACTATGTAGTACCTAATCTTATAAAATAATAAACACAACAGCAGGCTCCCAGCATACTCTGACCAAAGTCTGACAGTGCCTTAAATTGTATAATAATCAAACAATTCAATTTCATTTGTCTGGGACAAAGCTAGGAGCTTTCATTTTACAAAGACAATTTATCACTTACATAAACGTGATAAAACTAATCCTGATCCAAAGCTCCTTTGTGGAATTAATGTCCCTTAAAACAGGGAAATGAGACATTCCAGTCCTTGTGGGAAAAACGCTGAAGGATTGGGAAAGAACTAATTTATGGCTACAAGGCTGCTGCTGATTAATGTAATATCCCCCGTCTACAATGCAACCTTCACTTAATTAGTGTCTGTAATTGGGAGTTGTAAAGATAAGATTAATTGAATCTTGAGGATGTTAAAAGTCTAATATATTGGAACATGGTTACTGTGTTATCTGCAACTGCAGACTGCAAAAAGCCAAGCTGAGCTTTGGAGAATAGTCCATGGAGAGTCAGAGAAAAAAGACTTGCTTAGATAGGAACCAGTGAGAGAGGAGGAATTTCCAGCTTTTAAAAATGGAGTATATGTAATAATATGCAGATCAGAACACCCTACCACAGAACAGCCTCTTGGGAATAGCTGACTCCACATTTATAAATTAACTTTTTTTTTGTTTGGACCAAGTCTTTTAGGAAGCAGGGTCTACACTTTCTTGTAAATTTATTTGTAGGAATTCACAAAGTTAAATGCAGAAGTGAATTAATTAGGAGTAAGTAAAATTCTATTTTAAGTTACACTCACGGATCCGACTGATTTACATAAAGATAAGCAATAGAGAGAGAATTCGGACTGCTACTTAAAACCAGGAATAGAAACAGAAGCCTTCTGCAAGCTCTGCACAGGTCGAGCAAGCGAGCTTTATGTGATAAAGACATAAAGTGACTGATTACAAGGAGGAATAACAATGGAGGTGACATGGAAAGATCATAAACTGCTGCAATCAAAGGAGCACTGTAATTGAGCATGCAAGCACACATGAACGGGTGGCTCTTGTCTCTCATGGCAGCATCTTGTGTTCTTACTACAAAATGTGGCCAGACACTTATTAGGGACAAAGTACTCCACAGAAGGAACTGATGAAGCAATGACATTCAATACCTTTTGTTACTGACCTTCCTGCACCCACAGGCTGGGGCTTAGATCAGTAAAGGATTTTAATTCCAGAGAGAGCTGGGAGGACTATGCTTCACTATATCCAATGACTTCGTTTTCTACAGGCATAATTCAGGAAACTTCAAGATTTTTTCAGCAAGTAGGAGTGTTCTTTTTCCTTCAGTACCCCAGACCCATACTAAGAGAAGTTACCTCTGGATAAACACCAAAACCAAAAGCTACCCCATCAAAAACTTGAAGGAAAAAGAAAAATCACAAGTAAAACTGCTTCCCTTCTCTGCCCCATTAAGGCTGTAGTATAAAGGCACTCCACAAAGTCATGGAAAGGGTAGGAAAAGTACATAAATACAAGAAAAATGCCACTTTGAGTCCCGCATCAGTAGGCCAAAAATAGACTGTAATATCCTGTAAAAATCTCAACTTGACAATATCAGACTGACAACTACCCGATGCTTCATCACAGTTGACAGAAGCAGTTTTCTGACATCCATCTGCCCAGGTGGAACTGAACGAAGAACGCTGCAGACCTACCTTTTCTTCAGCCTACAGTAGACACATCTTTATAACCACAGCAAAGATGAAGCAAGAATTTTCTGTCATCCCAAAGAGTCATAAAATTAAAGAGAATTGATAGTGGCAGCATAAATATTTAAAAAGCTTTTATTAGTAACTCTCTTTTTATAGACTACTTCTTCTGCTTCAGAGAAAACATCAACAACTGCCAACAAAATACACAACTGTGCCTAAAATGCTGACCTTCAGCCAGTGTTTCAAACGTAGCATCTGTCCCTTCTGGTTCAGCAAGGTCTCCCAGTAAAGCTATGTCTACGTAAGCAGTGCTAAAGCAGCCATTGTCTTAAGGCATATCAAACTTGTAAGAAACTGAGCTTGCAAACTGCATAATCAATGGATATCAAGATGTTACAATCACAAAATAAACAAGAGAGTTAGGCGAAGTAGACTATGATAACAAGAGAGAATAAATGGAAGGCTTACCCTTATGCTGAGCTCCCCACAAAACACCAGAAGGAGGGATCTCCAGATGAGATCCTTCCCCACTGGCAGCCAGCTCTTCAATAGGTCTAGGAGAGGTGCAGCCTGGCTCCACCCCTTCCGGCAGCACAGGTGAATTGAATTGCCTTCACCTGTGCTCCTCTGGCTGACTCATGGCTCGCCTCAGGTGATCAGAGGTTCAGGCCGTGACTCCGCAGTTCCCATACACAAACAAACCAAGAAAGGGCCAAACTACCTGAAAACTGCCATGCTATAGTCTGTGGGATTACAACATGAATAACGTCTTACTGCTTTGCCAGGGAACACAAGATTTACAGAACAGAAAAAAGCCTCAAGATAAAAAATTGTTATAGCTGTGTGACTCAAATATCATCTTCCCTGAAGTCAACAATCTGAAAGTAATACAGTGATTCTTCTAAATTACCTTTTCCTACACTTTCTGCTAAAACAAGAGCAGGCCCCTGAAATAGATTAAATATCACTTCTTCAAAAATGGAACTTTGCTGCTCTACGTGAAAAATTCTCAACTTCCAAACTTGTTTCACAAAACTTAAATTCTAGCAAAACTGACCTCTACTTCCACATAATATTCTGGGTTCTTGAGGATCCCTCAAACCTCCTTCTGCTTGTAGTTACCACACATTGAGATCACAAGTCTAGAAGGTGCATGCCCCAAAGTACAAATGTGTAAGATAATCATAGATGATCTTAAAGGTTCCTTCCAAACTAAACCATTTTGTGTTTCTATGATTTACAAACAGCAGTAGTTTGCTTTTGTTAACAAGTAGCAAGTTTAACTGAGCAGTCCCCTTTTCACCCTTAATGCAAAGGATCTTTTCCATTTCCCATAAAGGATGTCATTAATAGTGTAATTTTCTTGGTGTTTTGTTTATTCCCCTGGAATGGTTTGATGGATGTTGATAATTATCAGACTATAAAAGCCAGCAAATGTGCTATTTTCTATCGCTGTACATCATCAAACAAATAAAGTGTGAAACAGCATTTCTGAATACAATTTTCCCCTCTAATGGCTTAGAATTATTACCAGGAACAGTGAAAATAAATAAGCAAATGTCTTGCGAGTTAAGAATTACATGAATGTGTCAGTAAATACAGAGAGTACACTGACCATCCCAGGACGCAAGGATGCAAGTTTAGAAGCCATTAAAAGATGACACAGTGAGGAATTCACTACTGCAATGACACCATTTACAGCATCAGATCTTCAGGGACCTTCCAGACTAGC